AGGAGGTGAGGCTGGGGAGCCTGACACCGAGAGAGGCCCGGAAGGAGAAGACATGAAACCGGGCCTTCTCGGTGGTGGCTCCTCGCCTCTGGAACAATCTCCCTCCGGCGATTCGCGCCCCCCCACGCTGGGCACCTTTAAAACCCAATTAAAAACATGGCTGTTTATTCAGGCCTTCCCTCCAGCCAACTCTTGATTTTTCTTACTTTTCCTTTTTATTTTTACTGCTGTTCTTGTTTGATTATTATGTATTTGTCTACGTTTTATTATTTGATTTTATATTTGGAAGCCGCCTAGAGTGGTCCGGTGGGCCAGATAGGCGGGGTATAAAATAAATAAATAAATAAATAAATAAATAAAAGAAGGGAGGATTTACAAGTGCCTTACAACCAAGGAAGGAGGGAGAGGTGGTTTATATCTTGAGGTTTGGCTGCAGGGGATGGGGGTGAAGATAGAAAAGCCAGACATTTTAAAGCTTTTTAGCTTTGCCTGCTGGACAGAAGGCTTTAGCTTCAAAACGAGGACATGTCCTCGTTTTGCTGGACGTCTGGCAGCCCTACCCAGAAGGTAGCTTCCTGGCACCTTTAAGTTTTAACATTTACACAAATGATCAACCAACATTCCCATACTTCAAGAGTTTTCAACTACAGTGGTGCCTCGCATGACAACGATAATTCGTTCCACTGAAATCGCTGTTAAGTGAAATCGTCATCATGCGAAAACAGTTCCCCATTGGAATGCACTGAAACCCATTTAATGCATTCCAATGGGGAAAATACCTCGTCCAGTGAAGATCGCCCATAGAGAAGCCATTTTGCGAGCTCCGATCAGGTGTTAAAATGGTTGCCCTGCAAAGCATGGGTCCGGAAAACACAGGGCAGCCATTTTGCAAAGCCGACGATCGTTGGAAAAAATCGTTGTCTTGCGAACAAACGGTTCACGAAACACGGACCAAATCGTCATCAAGCGGAAATTGCCCATAGGAATGACTGTTTTGATCGCTAAAGCGATCGCAAAAAGTCATCGCAATGCTGATTCGTCATCCAGTGGGGTCATCTTCTAGCGAGATACCACTGTATGCTGAAAAATTTACCTTGACAATCCAGGAGGAAACCTTTGAGGACATCAAGCATTAGCTAATTTCTGCATTATAAGATCTTTCCTTACATTATAAAAACAACCAGCTGAAACCAAACCCTTTAAAAACACAGGTCTATGCCTTCTACTTAAAGAACAGAGGAAGCTCTGAGTTAGCTGGGCAAAATTTTGGAACACTGCCCTATCTCCAAGTATTTTTTCATCACCCTGGATCAAACCCTGAACTACAGAAAACATTGTCTAAACTCCAAGCAGAAAATTGCCATCAGAAATAACCTATTTAGGGAACTGTCTAGGTCAGACTTTGGTACACACCCACAAACAATAGCAATGCAAATCTTCACAGCAGAACAAACCAGTTATATATGGGAAAAATCAGTATATGCCAAACATGCTCTTAATGACTCATGCAGAGTTATTACTGGCTGCCTGAAACCTACCATCACCATTATTTGGCTGGCATTGCTCCTCCAGAAGTGTGTCAAAAGGTGCTAGCAAATAACGAATGAAATAATGTAATACAGCACCAAACCGATTCACTTCACCAAACTCATTCATTTATTAGACAATGGCTAAAATCCAATAAATGTTTTCTGCACACATCTCAAGTTCTAAATATTAAACCTGAAGAGCCTAGAGTAAATATGGAAAACAAAAACAACACATCTTGCCATATGGGTGAATTTTGAAGAGTGTCTCCCACCAGGACAAGTCTCTGTCTGGACCATCTGGAAGTCACTTCATAGATTTCAAAGTGAAGTAGGAATATCAAAGAAAGTTCAAGTAAAATGGGGCTATTTGGATACAGGGCTATTTTCTGGGATTATGGAAAAATTCAGTCAATGCTGTACTCATGTACATGTAATTCCCCCTGCAGTGTGTACAAAGGAAGATGCACCAAATGGCTGAGGTAGCCTGCTTCTGGTCAAAAATAGTCTGATTATCCTAAAATTTAAATTTGTTTTTAAATTTACCTATCTTTCACATACATCCATAATTTTAAACTGTGCAATGCTCTGATATGAATAAATAAAGAAAGCCTGAACAGAACTAATTTGTTGGCAATCTTGAATCCCTTCACCAGAAAAAAATTAAATGAATAAATAAATAAGACGCTTATTTTTTATTACTGCTATGCTGACAACAGACAAACAACCCTAATAAATGGCTGAATGTTTGAAAATGTAATTTTTAAACAAAGGGACTCATTTGATTCTTGAAAAGCAGACATGTTACAGTGAATTTTACTTTTCAGCCATTTCTGATAACTGTGGGTGAAGGAAAAATATTTTTCATCAAGCTGCAAATTGTTATATTTAGTGATGTATTTTCTAATGGTATTCTGATTGTTCCCTCAGAAATGAATCTCCTTAGCAATTTTTTTCTAAACTGAAGTTTATGTTTGTTGACTATATGGACTGACTCAGAACATGAAAGAGACTATAGTCCTACACCTGGAAATAAGATCCACCAAACTCACTGAATCTACAGTACTTCTGAACTAATGTGCATAAGATTGCAATTTTTAAGAAATCCACTCTTCATCTCAGAAATCCCTAATGTTTTAAAACCAAACTCACCATTTCAGATTTTACTTCTTTTATTGGAACTTCTGTTTTGCCAATGCTTTTTTATAAATAGGAAAGAAAATTAATTGGCAACTGTTGTAAATCATGTCGTACCTTCATCTATTGATGCTTCACTACTGTACCCATCATATTCTGCAGAAAGAGGGCTATATTTTTGTCTGGTTTCCCAAATATAGTTTTTCTGTTGTCTGTTATCACCTGCTGGTGGTCTTGAACTTTGCGTTCTGGACAAGGCTTCATGGTATTTACCCAGTGCTTCATCTTCACTTTCAGATGATGAACCATGATGATCCTTATTTATATATGAGTTATCTATTAATGGGAGAGGAAAGAAAACACTGATAAAAAATGGAAACTTATAACAAGCAGAATGAAGGCACATGCTAATATTTCATTGGTTAACCCTTAGACATTACTACATTTTCAAAAAATATGATTTACCTTTTAACAAAGTTATGCAATAACTTGAATTTCAAAACAAGCACAGCATGAATATATATACCTTGCATTTCTACTCTTACAATACTGGGTGCAAAGCATTTACTGAGAAAATAATTAGGTTTTTTAAAAAACAGAGGTATTTTCCAAAACATATGTTTTTTATCATGGCCCACAGGGATCAGGAAAGTTTTTTCTCTGTGCATGTGATTTTGCTTTTCTTCATTAAATCTCCTTAGACCCTTACAAACTGTTTCTGTCTGTTCCTAGCAAGAAAACTAACAAATTATAAACTCTAAAAACTTGATAAAAGGATTAATTCAATTACTCATATTACTCAACTTGAGGAATGATGTCTTCAAAACAATAAGTTAAATTTATTTACAGCTTCATAAACTAGAGGTTATCTTCACTTTTCTTCACTGTGCTATAACTGGTTAAAAAATTACATTATTCCTTTGACTTTTAGAAAATTATTTTAATTTGTGATACAACACATTGACTATGATTTCTATGTTTTATTGATCGTGACAAAGTAGTACACATAGCTTGAAATCTGTTTGATTTCCTGACATTATTTCTTATACATCTATCTACCTTTGCACGTTTTTATGCTGATCCATTAATATAGTGAAAAAACCCAAATATTTCAATTTCAAAAGCCATGTACAAAAACATTCATATTCAATGTAACTGACACAAGGACCCAGCAAAACTAAGGATAACAGAAAGAAAATAACAGAAAATAGATTTAAAATAAGTAGCATCAGTCACAACCGAACATGTTTAATTGGTTCCAAGGGATACAAATAAAATTATTTAAAGCACATTTCAGAGTGTTGTACCACATGGTTATGTAAGAAAAAGATATCTGTGCAACTGGTTTTTCTTCTCCTTTTCCCTTGGATCCTAGGTCAAGGAGCCTTCTTGAACAGTTTGGCCTGCAATGCTATAGAGGAATTCCCTGAAATCAGTTTTAGTAAAGGATGCATTTGCAGAATTTGCATTATTGTATGACATAGTGGTTATACAAGTGGCCTATAATTTACTGGGCAGTATTTTCAAATCAGCAGGAGCTGCAAGGTGGGAAAGAGAACAAAAGATCTTCTTTCTAGATGTACAACCATGGGTACAAACATGAGAAGACAGTATAAGTATAAAAAAGAATTTTACTCAAAAGATTGTTTTATAGATCATTACAAATGAACTCCATAAAACAATTGGAAAAAGAAGTATGTAGTATAAGATCCAGGAAAGGCCAAATGGGTAGACTACTACGTATGACACCTCACCTTTTTCTGGTGTCTTCTCACTACCCACTTCTTTTGAAAAATGGTCTGATTCTTTAGTCTCTTCCCTTGTACTTCTTTTTGAAACAGTAGTTGGAACATTTTCCTTCTGCTTTGTCACAGATTGTCTGTGGCCATTGGAAAGTGTTTTGCATCTTTCTTTTATTCCAGGAGCACCATGTACTTTTTTAGACTTTGACTCTGACAATTTTGGTGTTTGTTCTTCACTTGTTTCCAAATTCCTGGATACAACACCATGCCCTTCATTAGAGTTCCTGAAGTCAGTTCCTGCTGATATTTCTTTGACATTTTTGTGGAACTGCTCCTTAGATAGCTTGAGCACTGCATGTGACTCTTTACTTTGGTCCTTACAAAGGGATTCTTCTTGTCTACGTGTACTAGTCTTTTCTAAAAAGGTAGTATTTTCCAAGTCATCATTTTTTGTGTGTTTTATTGAATTATTCAATTCCTTGAAGACCTTTCCATCACTAAGAAGCGCATTAGGTTCAACAGCGTTTAGATTATGTTGCAGTTTGGCTTTGTTATGATGGAATTCTCTGCCACCATTTGTACTTTGTTTTAAAGAATCAATTTGTCTGTGTTTTAGTTCTGCATTAATCTCTGTTTTGCTCATACGTTTTTCTTTCTCATGACTTAACTGAGTGCTAATTTCTTCTGTACCTATTGTATATTTATCATCTTGTGCCATAGAAGTATCATCTTTTCGAAAGCTATTGATCATGCTTGTTACCTGTTCTGTAACTGAATCAGCTACTGTATAGCTGACATCACCAACAGCACTAGTTATATCATCAACAGCATTATTTAATGTGTCAACCAGAGAAGACACAGAAGGAAGGTTCAGATTTTGTTTAAAATTTTGCTGAAAAGTTTTGAAAAATGCCATGTTTCCAATGTTAATTAGTAAAGCAGTATTTTAAAAGAAGAGATAATGTTTTGTGCCTGTTCAAAGTTCTATCTTGCAAATTTAAGGACAGTGCAGTTTAGTTCTTTTTCTGAAATCTTTTATCATAAAGGTGATAAATAGTACTAAATATTTTCAATGTAAGGCCAAAATATTTATAACATAAATAGATGTTTAAAGTATTATATGGAAAGTGATGGTTTTAATTCTATACCTGCAAAGAAAAAGTTTGAATATATTCAAGTAATATACTATAAAAAATATGTTCCTATTCTACAGTTATGTTGTCAATGACATGAAGAAATAAAAGAGATCCATCCAACCATTTCTGAGATCCAGTTGGATTTTGTTTGTAATGGGAAAATGTGATTGTTCTCTTACTCTAATCCATATACAGTATTTATGATGGCTGCCATGTAATTTATTATTTTTAACTGAGAAAGAGAAAACATCTGTTTCTTTCTAATATTTAAAATCGCAGCACCAAAATTAAGTCCACATAATTATATAATTCTGATTAAGCAGTACATGTTGGTTCAAAACAGTATTTTGAACTTTAAACAATATTTACTTATTCAAGGCATGCTTGTATTCCTTTACATAGTATGACAGTAGGCCACTGATGTCTTTGAGAACACACCATAACACTTAATACTTACAAAGTTTGTCCTGTGAATTTTTTCTGGCAGTGTATCGTATACTGAAGTCTGAGAAGCCTCCAACATTTTCAAAACACATCTTCTTGTTAATATACAGAAAAAGAATCAATAACAGGATAATAAATACTCCAACTGCTGACAGAAATCCAACTGCCTCAGGAGATACTAGAAGAAACATAAACAATGAGTAGACTAGAAAGTCAGTACAGTACATTTTATAAAAATCAAACTATCAGTCACAAGCAATCCAAAATTCACAATGGCTGAAATCCTGTTGCTTTGAGTAATAAGTTGTGCTGGCATAGGCTCATTCATTCACTGGTGATTTGGTGAGTCAACTCCTCAGTAAGTTCCATCGATTCAAATGGGCATACGCTAAAGTAAGTTACAGCTAGAGTACAGTCCTCCACCAGTCCTCCAATGGTGCTTCCCCAGCTCCCTACCTGGTAAGTAACTTTTTTTTAAAAAAAATTCCCATAGGAACATATTAATTAAATTTGAATTCATTGCTATGGGAAACGTACCTCGCAAGCCGAAAATATCTTCATCTTGCGGGGCACAAAAAACTCACAAGACGCTTTCGTCTTGCGAGTTTTTTGTTGCCCGAGGCATTCATTTTGTGAGGTATCACTGTAAAATGTTTTCTACTAGCATTGTTGCCAAGAGGAAAACTACTTTAATTTACGATTCTTCCTGAAAGCACAAAAGTTCTACCTTAACTGGTCACAGCTAGATGCTACTCATCATGAGCAAGATAAGTGCTGAAGAGCATAAGCACCAAAAGTGAACTATAAAGATTGTCCTGAAAGAATCTTAGGAGGAAGGGGAGGCAACCTGTAAATGATACTTTTTTCAAACTCATAGAACACGAAGATGGAGAAGATGAATGACAATGAAGATAGAGTAAAATGGTAAGTTTTGACAAACGTAAGCTCCAGCCAGCATTCCAAGAAGTTTCTTCAACAGCTAAAACAAACTTAAGGAAAGAGGCCAGATACACATGCACACATTGCGGTTGGGACAAGTCTAACAATCTTTTCTTTAAGCTCTAGAAAATTCCAAGGAGCTTCTGCACAGGGACAAGAAACCCATATGTGTGATTTACGAAGACCACAAGTAGAATAACATGTTTCCTACGAGCATTGTTACTGAAAGTAAAACTGGTTTAATTTATAATTCTTCTAGAAGGGGCAAAAGTTCTGCCCCAGCTAGTCACAGCTCATCATGACCAAGATCAGTGCTGAACAGCATAAGCACCAGATATGGGATATTCATATTCATTTCCCAGGGGAGAAACAAATTTCTCTGCCTCCCTGCAATGCTGACCACTGAGCAGTTAAGTGGGAAGACTCATCATCCGAGTGGTTGGCTGTACAGGGAGGTAGGGAAAACAAATATGAATATCCCATGTCTACTAAGTACCTAAAATGAACTTTAAAGAGGCACATCCCAGTGCCAATTTTCAGTAACTTTTATCATCCTATCCTGCAGTTTATATTATTCAAAGGTCAAACTAGGGTGATTTTTAATATGTAATGCTTCATTTCCTCCACTGTCTGTAATATCACTGCAGATAATTCTCCAAGTTCAAAAATTACTTTGCTAGCAGGACTGACTGAATACAGTGGTGCCTCGCATAACGAGCGCACCGTTTAATGATGAATCCGCATAGCGATGCGGATTTTGCGATCGCTAATGTGATTGCATACCGATGTTTTAATAGGGCAAAAATCGCTTTGCGACGATCGGCAAGCATTTCGCTTACCAATCTTCGCATTGCGATGGGGGAACAGCTGTTCGGCGGTTCCAAAATGGCCACCGGAACACCCAAAATGGCCGCCGGAACACCCAAAATGGCTGCGCACAGGATGGGGGAACATCGCAGAACGGTGAGTTTTGGGCCCATTTGGCCCAATGGGCTTTTCTGTTCCGTTTAGCGATGTTTCCCCATAGCGAAGGTTAATCCGGAACGGATTAACCTCGCTATGCGGGGCACCACTGTATTTTTAATTTGATGATTCCTCTATAATACCATTACCTGAATGGGACTGAAGGTGGCTGCATATTTCAGTGTGCTGGAGCATCTAAGGATTAGGGGTTCAGTTCCCCACTGAACCTCACAGGGAAAAAACTAGCATGTGTGGCCTTGAGCTGCATGATCCCACAGCAACACCAAAAGGAAAGGCTACTAAACCACTTCTGAGTATACTTGACAACATGTCATCATTATCATCATCATTAGGACTGTAACAACACAGGACAACCCGACATGCTATAAGCGGTGGTTTACAAGCCTCTTTAGGAAGAACATGAGGCAGAAATTAAGAAGCAGATTTTATTGAAAGGCATTACAGAATATTCTAATTAATTTGTACTTAAAGAACATTAAGACATACTTAGTCCTTAAAGACTGGTTAATAATACATTCTTTAATTGCACAGCCTTGTTGTTTTGTAGTGACAGAAACACCTGTCAGTAGTTAAAAGTATCCGTAATTTCATACAGAGGAGTATATATGGCATAACACACTCTACTACGTCCTATAACTATGTGTGAGGGTTCAAATGGGGTCTCTTCTGGTTTTGACATAGACACCAGAGGCTCATGAATTACAAAATCAAAACTGGGTTTTATTGAAACATTGAACAACAGGTCCTTTGATTCTAACTCTACTCCAACATTGTCTCTCGTGACCAATGGGTCCAACGAGGGCATCCAAACATCCTTGTTAAATGGATTAAACTCAGAGTCATTCCAGGGACCCTTGGTAAAGGGATTATTGTCATCCAAGTCCAAAGAGTCCATTCCTGGGTCTATCAGCGGTACATTCTTGTCTCTCTTCTCGGGATTGAAGGGATCCTCCTCTCTTTGTACAGGAGCCCACGGTCCGACAAGAACCCTCTCCGATGGGCTTCCTCCAGCCTCCATGCTCTCCTCCCTCTCCACAGCTTCCTTCTCCTCTCTCAATCTCCGGTGCCACTCACGCGCCTCTGATTCCCCCCAATATGAGGGTTGTGGAGGCAGTACTCTCCTTCTCCTGCAGTCTGCCTCCTCCCTGGGAACCCGGACCTTTTCACACTTTCCGGTCCAGGGATCTTCCACCTATATTAATTCCCAAACCCCGTGTATATTGTCCCTTGCTCCTTTTATAGCCCCTGTTCCTGCCTCCACGGTGGTTCTGCCCCTTTCTTTTTTCCCCACCATTCCCCTCTCAGTCTGAGTGGCTATACTGTAGTTATTTTAGCAAACCCCTGTTCTAGTTCCCAGGTGTCCACTTCCCGTTGTACTGTCGCGACGGGTGATGCAAGTGGGTCTGTTTGCACTTCTTGTTCTATCCTAAGGGAGGATGACTCTCCGGGGAGGGCTTCTACCCCCTCGCACCGTGTCTCACACTATGAATGTATAAACATCATTAGTACTACATAAAATACTAAATTTAACATTAAGCTACAGTGGTGCCTCGCTTGACGACGTTAATTCATTCCAGCGAAATCGCTGTAGAGCAAAAATGTCAAACGAAACAAAAAAAAACACAATTGAAACGCACTGAAAACCATTCAATGTGTTCCAATGGGCTGAATACCTGCTTGTCCAGCGAAGATTCTCCATATGGCGGCCATTTTCGGTGCCTGTATAGCGAGGAATCCATCCTAGAAAACAGCCGGGGGGGCATTCTGAAAGCCGCTGGCCATTTTGAAACCCGACGATCAGCTGTTTGCTGATCGTCGCAAAGTGAAAAATCGGTTCCCAAAATGGAACCAATTAACCTGAAGCAAAATTCTCCCATTTAAACCATCATTTTGTGATCGCTTTTGCAATCGCAAAAACGTCAATGTTAAGTGGATTCGTCGTTAAATTACAGCTTAGCGGGGCACAACTGTAATAGGAGAACACTATTACTATTTGGTATTTTTAAAAGGCTACACTATCTGTACAGTCCTTTGCAGAAGCACTGTATTTATGGACATTCTTTGAGGCAATTAATACCTTACTAAAGAATGAAACTTTAGCTTCAAATTTGTTAATAATTAATCTAATTTTAACGCCAACTGCACATCTTTAGAAATTATCTGTCTTGCATCAGTTTGCATCTGTGTCCATCTTTAGCCTTTTAAAAATCTTAAATATAACATCTGTCCTGAATGTATGTTAATAGTTTAGCTTAAAAATGAAATTAAATGAAAAAGAAAAATGAAGAAAGAAAATTTAAAATATTCTCTTTCTGTGTGAGGCCACATGCAATAGAGTATATTATGATACATATGCTCCTCTGTATAACATTAAGCATTTCACTTTTTATAAATGAAATACCAAGCAACATACATGATCAGACAGTAATAGTAACCACTGTTCAAATAAAATGCAATATTTTTCACAGTTATGCAGACCATGCATTCCATTCATAATGCATCTAAAGTTAATACCCCATGATATTATTGTTTCCTGAAAAATACTACAACCGATTTAGGACACATTTCATAATGGTTATCTGTTTACAGTGAGAAGGGAATATTCTTGAAATTGGACAACTCCACATACTCAGTTAATACTGTTAAACAATTTATATTGTTCATAATCTTAAGAAATCCAGGGCATATTTTCTGGTTGAATACAGTGAGCAGAGTAGAAGAAATAGCTTGAAAATGAGTACCATAAATGCACTCACTGTCTATGAAAAATCTAACACCAAGCACAGTAGCATTACCAATCAATTTACAATACAATCTATACTAATAAAAACAGTATTTAGAAACATACTACATTTCACTATGTTAAAACTGTATTTTTCAAAATTAAAATAAAACATGACTTTTTAAAAGAGTTGCTCACCAAGTCAGAAAATTAATATATCACTAACACATTTTTTAAAATTTCCTTCCAACACCAATTTCAACTATACTGGAACACTGTCCTTACAGATAGCAAAATTAATAATGATGTTATTAAGTTTTTAAAAATTGCCTTTAACTAACACAAAAGCATTCAGAAGCTTTTTCCTTACTTACATAAACTGCTGACTGTACTACTGCTCAATTGTGTATGCAACCATATATTTCTCGCACTACATGTCAATGACAGTTT